ATATGATTACGTATTTCATGATATAAATAAAAATAAAATAAATAAAAGAGAGCTAATACCCTCAAGAAATTGTCTGTAAAATTTCGTTCTAGATTATAAAGACCGTTTTTAAGAAATATCAAATTTTCCGGAAAAATTGGTCATGTAACTTAAATTGTGATTTTCTCAAAATCACGTGATCGGCCGAGCCCCCCTTTTGCTGGGGGGGGTCCCTATATACCAATCGGCTATATGTATGCCAATCGGCTATAAATAAGATAAGTCAAATTTTGGCTGATTTTTGGCCGATTTCTAATGTATGCCAATCGGCTAGGCTGATTTTTGATAATTTGCTAAATTTAGGCCAAATTTAGGCTGATTTTAGGTTGATTTTCACATATCTGATTTTTTTGATTTCGACCAATGAATAGTGTTATAATTCTATTTTTATTTAAATAAATATCATAATCATATTAGTATAATTATAATATTAGAAATAATATTGATCTTTAAATTTTTAATAATATAAATATTTACTTTATTTGATTTTATTATCCCTTAAATTGTAAGTATAAAATTGTTACTAAAACATTTTAGAAAACTTAAAATATTTTGATATTTAATAATTATAAAAAAATAAAATAAAATTTTTTAGATTTATCATATTATGATGTATTTAATAGTAGTATTTTTAAACTTTTAAAATTAATAATTATCAATATATATTAATTTTTAATTTTTAAAAATAATTTATTATTTAATAATTACAAATATAAATTTAGTTTATTGAATTCATTATATTAAGACTTATTAAATAGTAGTATTTTTTATATTTTTAAAAATTAATAAATAAAAAAATATATATTGTATTTCTCCAAAAATAGGCACTTTCTGAAAATAAGCACTATTATTTTTTTTTTAGTATCTGAAAATAAGCACTATCAAATTTTTTGAGTACCTAAATGCTAAAATGACCAATTTATTTAAAATTCAAATGCTTTTTATTTTTTTATTTAAAAGAATTTATTGCCATTAATATTTCTTACATTATTTTAACAATTGTTATCACCATCACTATTATTATCATCACTGTTACAATTATCATTATTGCTACCATTATCGTTATGCTAACATTACCATTAATGCTATTACCTTCATTAATATCACTGCTATCGACATCTATAATATCCAAAATTTTATTTTCAACCTTATTTGCACTTTCATCATCAATCTTATCTGTACTTTCATCTGATCTATCTAAACAATTTGATATTCCACATGTTTTAAATGATTTAATAATAATTTTGTTCAAAATTGCTTCCTAAGAATCTTGATCCATATGTAAACATCACTCAATCTTGCCTAATGGAGGTTTTCTGCATTAGTTATTCTAGCATCACCTTCAGCCATTCAATTATGCCATTCTTTTCATAAATTTTCTTTAAATGATTTATTAATTACAACATCAAGTGGTTGGTAAATGCTAGTCAATCCACCTAGAATTATAGCTAAATTATATCCACTTTTGCAAAACTTTATTTTAATAGATTCTTCTAAATGACCCCTAAATGAATCATATACTAACATTGCTAGAGTATTATTAGTTCTTGAATTATTAAGATAGTTTACATACCTTTTTATCAAATCAACATTTATTCATCCATTTTTTTGAAATCAAACTACTATTCCAGGTGGAACTTGTTCTCCTTGTGACATCTGTTTTTCTTTAAAAATACAAATAGGTGGTAATCTGGTACTGTCTATAATAAAAAATAAATAACAATAAGAATAATAAAATTTTTACTTTCCTTTTCAATAAATTTAAAGAATCTACCTGCAGTACAAGTTAAAATTACAGTAAACTGATTTTTTTCATTACCAATTACTCGAATATGCACAGTTTTTTCACCTTTTAGATTAATTGTGATATTGCCAGCCATATTGAACCAAACTGAGGTCTCATTTATATTAAAAATTTCATCTAAGTTGAAAGAATTTTCAGTTCTAAGACGAATGACAAATTGTTAAAAATTTTCCAGTAATTCCTAAGTTTGAATTGGTAATTTTTAGGCTATTTTTGTATGTTGTCTTAATGCTAGTCCATATCATTTTAAAAATGTAACTAGCCAATAGTGTGATATTTTAAAATCCTTTGATAGATTATCATAAAGAACTAACATTTCAGGTTCTTTCAATATCTTCAGCATTTTATTTTTAATTATTACATAAGTTATAGCAAAAGCTTACTTTCTTTGTTCTATTATCCAATTATACAGTTTTTTTTCAGCTTCAGAAAAAAAAGTTTTTCGATCAGCTCCAATTTGTCTGCTATTTTTATTTATCTCAGTTGATAGTTTGTACTTATCTTCGTCTAATGTCTAACTATGCTAGCATTAAGTTTAAAATGAGCAGCTACTTTATTTCTTTCAAATTTTTTTGCATATTCTACTACTTGTACTTTTTGAGAAAGAGAATATGAAGTTCATTTTCGTATTGCAACTTTTTTAACTTTTTTTTGTAGCTTATTTTTTCTTTTATGTTGAAATAGTTTTTTATGTGGCATTTTTGTGTAATATAAAAAGTTACGCAAAAAGATAACGCTAATTCGCGTATTATATAACAAGATGATCAATTAAATAAAGTGTTACAGATCATGTAATAAGATGATCAATCAAAGGTGTTACAAAATATAAAATATTTAATATTTTTATATAGCTTCTGGGATTGGAAATTTAGCAATTTTATTAATATCTGAATTTAAGCACCTTTATAGCAAAAAAAGGATGCTTAATTTCAAAGGTATATGGTAAGTTTAAAATTTTAATTTATTTATCTTTAAAAAATCATTAGTTAATTACATTTTTTTTTAATTTTTACTTAGAAAATATTATAAAATTTATTATAAAAGTATTGATTTTTTTAAAAATATATTTTAAATAATTAAAAATGATTATAATTAATAAATAAAATTGCTTACAAATTTGTAAGCAAAATAATTGAAGGGATAATATGCTTTATATAATATTATTAACAACATTTTACCAAATAATATCCTGATTTAATTTTTGCAAATTTTGATATAAATATAATTTACTAATTCAATAATCTGATAATGTATCCAAAAGTTTAATATTTGATTTTAGAAATTTGAAATCTGATTGGTAAAGAGATATAACATTTTTATAATAAAAAGCAATAGCATTTTATATATAAGTAGGATAAATAAATATTAATAAAAAATCTATTATTATTTTTAAAAATATAAAAATTACTAATTAATATTAATTTTATTATTAAAAGTAAAATTAAAATTATTTATTTGTATTTTTATTTTTACTATATTTGAAAATATTGTAAAAATCTATTATATATAATAGAAAGGTTAATATTTTAAAATAATAATATAAATTTTTTAACGTTAATTCAAAATAAAATTTTTAAAACATTTTTAATTTAAAATGTATATTACAAAATCAGTTTCAAACTTTACAATTATAAGGCTGTATAATAATAATAAATAAATAAATATTATAAAACATATATATATAATTAAATTATATTTGTTGATTCCATATTATACAATCATTAAATTTTACTTTAGTCCCTCCAAAGATATCTAATGCACTATAAATAAATTTAAATGAAATTATTCGAAAATATGTAGAATTTAAAATAATATATTAAAATAATATAATATATAAATACCTTCCAAATGTCAAATGGATTTTGCCATTTGATAATTTATTAACTATTTCAAGATCTTTAATAGCTGTAAAAAAAATATAATTTTAACTTGAAGAAATGAAATAAAAAAAAATAAAGACAACTTAGAAATACTAACAATTTGCACCGCCTGCATATGTCGTTGGTATTGTAACCCATTTTCCAAGACCTAATTTAACCATTTATTAAAAAGAGTAGGAATGCGCATAGCATTGATAATAAAATTGCTTATAACATACATTCAACAAGTTCAATGTCAATTCCTTGACATAATCCTTCTACATCTGCAGCATGAATCAAGAATTCACTATAAATTTGAATTAAAAACAATCGTTAATATACTTTAGATAAAAGGTTACTATTAAAGATTTTTAAACCTGCAATAATCTGATAGTAATCTTAAAGATCCTAAAAAAAAATCACAATTAAAAAAAAAAATTTATTACAAAAAAATAATTTAAGAAAAGTTCTTTACCTTCATTTATTTCCATATCCGTCATGGTTTGCCATTTATTCATAGCAACAACCCATTTATTTTCTCTTTTACGACAACTATTAACAAAATACTGTTATTATAAGAAAAATAAATTTAAGCAAAAAAAAAGATTTTTTTCTTTGTTACCTAACATCAACAACAATGTTTTCTTTCCCGATTCTTGCTGATAATTCTTGCAATCTATTTAAAGAAAATTTAGCATCGGGAAAAAGGTATGAAGTGACAATCACCTAAACAGCAAACAATTTTAGTTCAAAAACGCAGTTTTACGAATTAAAGGCATTATCATTATACCTTTTCAGCACCGGCATTTAACCACGCTTCTGCATTGTCTAAAGTAATTCCTCCACCAATTTGTAATCCTCCAGGCCAAGTTGTTAAACATTCCTTGGCTGCATCATCGTTTCCAGGTCCAAGTTTAATTACATGAGCACCAGTTAAATTATGTAGTTTATATAAATTAGCATAATAACTTGGCTTTTCGCTAAAAAAAAAAAAAAAAAAAAAAAAATCAACATTATGGAAAAACCTTAATAATTTGTCCGAAGAAAATTACCTTGATACGAAATTTGTTTTGAGTTCTGAAGGACTTGATTCATTTAATGAACCTCCTACAATTTGTTTAACTTGTCCATTATGTAAATCTATACATGGGCGAAACTTTGTTTTTGGCATATCTTTTTTTTCAAGAAATAAAAAATAATTATAATAAAAATTTGCTTGTTTATTTAGATATTGATAATCTTTTTATCAAAAAAAAAAAAATCATTACACAGATGCTGTGCCGTTTAGAAGTAATAAATTTTATAAAAAAGAGAGTTTAAAAAAAAATTATTTTTATATTTAAATATCTAATATATATATTGAAAAATTATAAACAATACATAATCAAAATATTTACACAAAGTTTCGAAAATAACGTTTCATATTCGATAAGAGAATATATTGATATTAAATGCAATAAGTGGCGTACGTGGCGACCTTTCGTCTTTAATTTAGTTTGTTATCTCCATAGGATCTTCGATTTCAACATATCTTTCCCTATTTAATTTAGGAAATACTTGATTCAAATAATTCAAAGATGTTTTTGCAGGTTTCGAATTAAACAAACATGTCGATTCAGAATTGAACAAATTTAAATCAGATTTATAATGTCTTTTTGGAGATAATCCTAGCTCGGGTAAGGCTAAAGCTTCTTCCATGGAACGTTCATTCAAACAAGGAGAGCTATTTAACGGTATAGTTTTCCGAGATGGTTCTTTTGTTGGAGATTCTGAAGGTGGTGTAAAGAGGGGACCCAATAAAGATAAAACCTTCTCGGATTGGTGTTCATTCAAAGATGGGTTCTTACTTGATCTGGCATCCTTTGAATGTCCAGGACATAAAGCAGATAAATCTAGTTTGAGTATGGAAAGCGAATCTTCTGATGGTCGCTGTTGATAATGTAATTCGTTTGGAACCACTCTCTTTGGAATTCCCGAATAACAATTGATGTCATAAATAGATTGTTCAGCGTTCCATTTTCTCTTTTTCGCTTTAATAGTTGTTGAATTAGCTTGTTGGAAATCATTAAAATTTGAAGAATGAACTTCATTGTATCCAGAGATTGAAGTAGTCATGCATGGAATTACATTTCGAACTATATTTTGTTTTGAATAAAATGTTTCCATTTTAAAATTTTGAATGTTTGTTGAAAAATCGATATTTTTTTCGTTTTGCATCGTTGAAGCAAAAAAATTCAAACGATTAGTACCCCAGTGTAATATTTTTTTGATCCGTTTAAATAGAAAATATTTATCTTTAAAAAATTATATTTACCCTTATCTGTATGAATGCATTATATAAGAACAAAAAGGAGAAAATCGGCAATAATCAACAAATCAACATGCATTATATGCTCAGCTTGCAGGCTGCGGCAATTTATTTGTCCGCAGCCTGGAAATTTCCGTTAAACCTCGATTTGACAAACAAAAAAGATTGCTTTTTTCCTTGAGAATTTTAAAAAAAAATTTATGTTATTGCGCCTCACTATATTGTGAAAAAAAAAGGTGATTATAAATAAATACATTGTGCATCCCAACATTGTTTATATTTGGGTAAAGAAAAAAAAAATTAAGGTTATTTCCACCTGCAATTTATAACGTTTCAAATTAAGCCCACATAAAAAGTCATGGGTTACATATATTGTATATTTCTTATTTTACAGATTAGGTTTCCCTCTCAACTGACATAATTATGATAAATTTAGTTAGATCCAACCCAACTGCAAAATTCTTGGGAAAACTTTTTTATTTTCTTCGGATAGATTATAAGTATATAAGCATTATATTATAGCACCTACCCTTCTTGCGAAAATGTCATATATATAAATTTTTTTTTTCGCACGTATTTCTGAAAAAATATCTCAACAATGGCGTTAAATAACGGATCGATTTCTTTTTTTTTAAGAATCTGTTAAAAAATTTTTTTTTCAATATGGTGAACGCAAATGACGGGCCGTCTCTTATTTTGAAAGCAACCCCCTTTTTATTAAAAAACAAAAAACAAAAGGAGAATGGCTTAGTTTGAGAATTGGAAAAATAGTGAGTATTTGAAACTCAAATTGAAGCTAGATGGTGCTCAATATGCATTTCATATTTTTTTTTTTGGGTTATTTTTTGTACCAACTGTAATAATAGTAATAATGAATATATGAGACCTTGCAATAGAAAGGGAGTCTGCCGGAAAAAATGAATTTTACTTTATATGGCAAATATGATTTTTAGGTCAAAATATGTTTAGATTTAGCATTAATCATTTTTTATTTTTTCGTTTTCCCCTTTTCTATTGCAAAGGTCCCATATGGTTCCTATTATTAATAACATCACTGTTATTATTATCGCTAGCATTAATATTACTAATAGATAAGCTTATTGATTTTCAGATTTGTATTTATTATTATTTTATATATATATATATATAACCCAAACATATATACAGTATGGAATCTTTATAATAAAAAGGAGGAAATTGCTAAAAGAAAATAAATTTTACTTTTATATACCTTAAATTTTTATAATTTTATGATTATTAGTTATAATAAAAAAGGAATCAATTGTAAAAAAAAAAAAAATTTAAATAATAAATGTTTTGAAAAAGATAATATAAATTACATTTATTGGAAAAAATTCAATATGATAGTTTTTTTTTCAGTATTTATTTCATATAATCAGTCATTTTGATTATAAATAATATTTTTTTTTTTTATGATTTTTTTTATAACTTAATTCATAATAATAAAAATAATTTGGTTTTTTTAATTTAAATTTTAATTTAAATTATTATATATAATTTAATTCAAATAATACTTTTATTATTAAAATTAAAATATCATTTATATATAAAATATTAAAAATAATAATTTTTTAAAATCTGTAAAATAAGTTAAATTAATTATTAGATAATTAATAATTTTAATTTCTTTTTTTATAATTTTAATCATTTAAAAATTAATCTAATGTCTAATATTTATATTTCATTAATTTATTAATTTAATAAATCTATTTATAAATTAGATATATTATTATTATTTTTTTTTTAAAATACTTTAAATTGATATTATCCCTTATAAAATATTATAGAAAAATTATAATATTTAAAATCTAGTGATTATAAAAAGATAAAATAAAATTTATTAGATTTGTCATATTATAGTATTTTAAATTTTTAAAACTAATAATTATTAATATATATTAATTTTTCAATTTTTCAATTTTTAAAAATAACTTATTATCTAATAATTACAAGAAAATAAAAAAAAATAACTCTTTTCACTGATCCTTTTGACCCAATATCTCCAACAACTAGAAGACAGAGTACATACAGAAAAAAACTTAAACCCTACAATAAAACTACTTCAAACTCTTTAGATTACAGTAAAGAGACTAGTACTTCATCCTCTAATGAGCACAGAAAGAACAAAAATGAAGATATAGTTACTAAAATTACAAAAAGACAAAAAATTAAAACCCCAAAACTTAACATCACTTTAACAGTTACAGAAACTCCAAATATAACTCAACTGACACCAAATATTATGCAAACCAAAACAACTTTGCTTTTAAAGACTCTGAAGTCTATAAAATGAAAATAGATGCCACTAAAAAAACTTTACTCTCTTCACCACAAGGATCTAGTACAAATGATTCTATACATGCAAAAATCATAACAAATAATACTATCCAATCTTCATCTATATCTACTACTGATAAAGAAAGAACAAACAATTCTCTTGGGCTGATCAAGTTAAAAACAATGTAAACGAAGCTGGCCAATTATGTGACACTAATATAAATGATACTGCTTTTAATATTATTACCTACAAACGCGTTTTTTACATCTGATGATACTACAAATATCACTAGCA